CAAAAGAATGTAAGAGGGGCCTGGGGATGTGACTAATGAACAGAGGAAATGTTACTTTAGTGCCATGAATGTCTTTCTTGTTTATTCTGGACCCTATTTGGAAATTGGCATCTTTTGAAATTTGTGTGAAATTGGCAAAACTTCTAAATTCTGAACACTTTATTGTATAGTTGAAATCGGTACATGGGTGGTTTCTTGTACTCATTCAATAGAGAAAAGGGAGTTCTAGCGAAATAGTTATGATTTTTGTCGACTAGTACACTGGAATTGGCCGAAAATAGGGCTCAAAGTGGGCAAAATCGCCGATGCATAAACATCATGGAGACTGCTAACTTTGTGAGAGCGTAATTCCGTAAGTTTTCCATCAAATTTCATACTTTTGGTGTCATCATGATTGGGAAAAGATTCTCTATCTTTTCATTAGATTTTTTTTTTTTTTTTGAAAATTGGGGGACCCTGAGAACAAGTCTCTGAGAGGGCCTGTGGACCCTGAAAGGGTTAAAGGAAGGGAAGGGAACGTCTTACTCCGTGGATTAGAAGCCCATCACCTGCATCAAGAAACCAACCTGGACGGGTCATCTACTATAGTGACCTCTGTACATACACCTACTGCTCTCTGCTTTATCTATAAAAACTAGTTTCTATCTGTAACAGTGGTTCCCAAATGTTTTTCTCTGGCCCACACTTTTGGAGTAAAAATTTGATTGTGCCACACTTTTTTTTTTTATTATCACACTGGCCGATTCCCACCAAGGCAGGGTGGCTCGAAAAAGAAAAACTTTCACCATCATTCACTCCATCACTGTCTTGCCAGAAGGGTGCTTTATACTACAGTTTTTAAACTGCAACATTAACACCCCTCCTTCAGAGTGCAGGCACTGTACTTCCCATCTCCAGGACTCAAGTCCGGCCTGCCGGTTTCCCTGAATCCCTTCATAAATGTTACTTTGCTCACACTCCAACAGCACGTCAAGTATTAAAAACCATTTGTCTCCATTCACTCCTATCAAACACGCTCACGCATGCCTGCTGGAAGTCCAAGCCCCTCGCACACAAAACCTCCTTTACCCCCTCCCTCCAACCCTTCCTAGGCCGACCCCTACCCCGCCTTCCTTCCACTACAGACTGATACACTCTTGAAGTCATTCTGTTTCGCTCCATTCTCTCTACATGTCCGAACCACCTCAACAACCCTTCCTCAGCCCTCTGGACAACAGTTTTGGTAATCCCGCACCTCCTCCTAACTTCCAAACTACGAATTCTCTGCATTATATTCACACCACACATTGCCCTCAGACATGACATCTCCACTGCCTCCAGCCTTCTCCTCGCTGCAACATTCATCACCCACGCTTCACACCCATATAAGAGCGTTGGTAAAACTATACTCTCATACATTCCCTCTTTGCCTCCAAGGACAAAGTTCTTTGTCTCCACAGACTCCTAAGTGCACCACTCACTCTTTTTTCCCTCATCAATTCTATGATTCACCTCACCTTTCATAGACCCATCCGCTGACACGTCACTCCCAAATATCTGAATACATTCACCTCCTCCATACTCTCTCCTTCCAATCTGATATCCAATCTTTCATCACCTAATCTTTTTTGTTATCCTCATAACCTTACTCTTTCCTGTATTCACCTTTAATTTTCTTCTTTTGCACACCCTACCAAATTCATCCACCAATCTCTGCAGCTTCTCTTCAGAATCTCCAAGAGCACAGTGTCATCAGCAAAGAGCAGCTGTGACAACTCCCACTTTGTGTGTGATTCTTTATCTTTTAACTCCACGCCTCTTGCCAGACCCTCGCATTTACTTCTCTTACAACCCCATCTATAAATATATTAAACAACCACGGTGACATCACACATCCTTGTCTAAGGCCTACTTTTACTGGGAAAAAATTTCCCTCTTTCCTACATACTCTAACTTGAGCCTCACTATCCTCGTAAAAACTCTTCACTGCTTTCAGTAACCTACCTCCTACAACCATACACTTGCAACATCTGCCACATTGCCCCCTATCCACCCTGTCATACGCCTTTTCCAAATCCATAAATGCCACAAAGACCTCTTTAGCCTTATCTAAATACTGTTCACTTATATGTTTCACTGTAAACACCTGGTCCACACACCCCTACCTTTCCTAAAGCTCCTTGTTCATCTGCTATCCTATTCTCCGTCTTACTCTTAATTCTTTCAATTATAACTCTACCATACACTTTACCAGGTACACTCAACAGACTTATCCCCCTATAATTTTTGCACTCTCTTTTATCCCCTTTGCCTTTATACAAAGGAACTATGCATGCTCTCTGCCAATCCCTAGGTACCTTACCCTCTTCCATACATTTATTAAATAATTGCACCAACCACTCCAAAACTATATCCCCACCTGCTTTTAACATTTCTATCTTTATCCCATCAATCCCGGCTGCCTTACCCCCTTTCATTTTACCTACTGCCTCACGAACTTCCCCCACACTCACAACTGGCTCTTCTCACTCCTACAAGATGTTATTCCTCCTTGCCCTATACACGAAATCACAGCTTCCCTATCTTCATCAACATTTAACAATTCCTCAAAATATTCCCTCCATCTTCCCAATACCTCTAACTCTCCATTTAATAACTCTCCTCTCCTATTTTTTAACTGACAAATCCATTTGTTCTCTAGGCTTTCTTAACTTGTTAATCTCACACTCAAAAACTTTTTCTTATTTTCAACAAAATTTGTTGATAACATCTCACCCACTCTCTCATTTGCTCTCTTTTTACATTGCTTCACACACTCTCTTAACCTCTCTCTTTTTCTCCATATACTCTTCCCTCCTTGCATCACTTCTACTTTGTAAAAACTTCTCATATGCTAACTTTTTCTCCCTTACTACTCTCTTTACATCATCATTCCACCAATCGCTCCTCTTCCCTCCTGCACCCACTTTCCTGTAACCACAAACTTCTGCTGAACACTCTAACACTACATTTTTAAACCTACCCCATACCTCTTCGACCCCATTGCCTATGCTCTCATTAGCCCATCTATCCTCCAATAGCTGTTTATATCTTACCCTAACTGCCTCCTCTTTTAGTTTATAAACCTTCACCTCTCTCTTCCCTGATGCTTCTATTCTCCTTGTATCCCATCTACCTTTTACTCTCAGTGTAGCTACAACTAGAAAGTGATCTGATATATCTGTGGCCCCTCTATAAACATGTACATCCTGAAGTCTACTCAACAGTCTTTTATCTACCAATACATAATCCAACAAACTACTGTCATTTCGCCCTACATCATATCGTGTATACTTATTATCCTCTTTTTCTTAAAATATGTATTACCTATAACTAAACCCCTTTCTATACAAAGTTCAATCAAAGGGCTCCCATTATCATTTACACCTGGCACCCCAAACTTACCTACCACACCTCTCTTAAAAGTTTCTCCTACTTTAGCATTCAGGTCCCCTACCAACAATTACTCTCTCACTTGGTTCAAAGGCTCCTATACATTCACTTAACATCTCCCAAAATCTCTCTCTCTCCTCTGCATTCCTCTCTTCTCCAGGTGCATACACGCTTATTATGACCCACTTCTCGCATCCAACCTTTAACTTTAATCCACATAATTCTTGAATTTACACATTCATATTCTCTTTTCTCCTTCCATAACTGATCATTTAACATTACTGCTACCCCTTCCTTTGCTCTAACTCTCTCAGATACTCCAGATTTAATCCCATTTATTTCCCTCCACTGAAACTCTCCTACCCCCTTCAGCTTTGTTTCGCTTAGAGCCAGGACATCCAACTTCTTTTCATTCATAACATCAGCAATCATCTGTTTCTTGTCATCCGCACTACATCCACGCACATTTAAGCATCCCAGTTTTATAAAGTTTTTCTTCTTCTCTTTTTTAGTAAATGTATACAGGAGAAGGGGTTACTAGCCCATTGCTCCCGGCATTTTAGTCGCCTCATACGACACGCATGGCTTACGGAGGAAAGATTCTTTTCCACTTCCCCATGGACAATAGAAGAAATAAAAAAGAACAAGAGCTATTTAGAAAAAGGAGAAAAACCTAGATGTATGTATATATATATATATATATGCATGTGCGTGTCTGTGAAGTGTGACCAAAGTGTAAGTAGGAGTAGCAAGATATCCCTGTTATCTAGCGTGTTTATGAGACAGAAAAAGAAACCAGCAATCCTACCATCATGCAAAACAGTTACAGGTTTTTGTTTCACAGTCATCTGGCAGGACGGTAGTACTTCCCTGGGTGGTTGCTGTCTACCAACCTACTACCACCTTTTTTTTTTATATATATATAATGAATACATTAAAAAAAAATTTTTTTTTAGCAATGCTTGATTGATAAAATAGAACAACTACTTTATAATATGAGTATGGGACATCCAGAAAGCATAAAACAATGCAGCCATATAAAAACATGATTTATTCCCAAAATCTACTTATAGACATTGCAACCTTAATGAGATAATTATGTTACCAGGGCACAAATGCAAAACAGAGAGATCAAATTGTTTGCTTCTTTGAGGCTCATCCTCAACACTGCACTTAACAGAGAGACGGCATGTAACATGGAAACTTCTATACATGTTTAAAAATTTTTTTTTGATTGTCCTTGAATCTTCCTGCCACACCTGCCATCCTCTCTCGCTGCACCCTTTGGGAACCACTGATCTACAAGAATAGACAGTTCTATGCTTTTTTTTTTTTTTTTTTAACTCAATAGCCGTCTCCTGCCAAGGTAGGATGACCCATTTATACATATACGGTAGAGTTTACAAATACACAAAATCCCAGGATTCACCCCTTTAAATTATTAGTAAGATCTGTGCCATTCAAGAATGGAATTTAAGAATATAAGTGGTGAAACTATATCTAACAATCCCTAATGATACTTCTCCAGGCCTTGGTGGAAAATGCCTGCTGTAAAGGAAGTTTTACTTATACTTTAGGATCATTATTACCTGTGACAAGAGCTGCAAGATGACGAGCAAAGAATCGGGAGTGAGAGAACCCAAGACATCCATACATACTGTTTGCAGTCAATTTCAAAGCCTTTTGACGAATGTCATACTGTGGAGAACATTTACAATTATTAGCTCCTGCACTTTCTTCCATTAGCACTAACATTTAACACTTTGACTGTCGCGGCCGTATATATACGTCTTACGAGGTACCATGTTTGACGTATATATACTCATAAATTCTAGCTCTCTCCTGCTTGATTTGAAGCCGCTAGAATTTATTTATATTATTATCACACCTTGGTGAGAATCGGCCAGTGTGATAATAATATAAATAAATTCTAGCGGCTTCAAATCAAGCAGGAGAAAGCTGGTAGGCCCACATGTGAGAGAATGGGTCTGTGTGGTCAGTGTGCACCATATAAAAAAAAATCATGCAGCACACAGTGCATAATGAGAGAAAAAAAAACCCACGATCGTTTTTTTTAAATTAAAATGCCGAATTTGTGGTCTATTTTCGTATAGTATTTATGGTTGTATTCTCGTTTTCTTAGTCTCATTTGATAGAGTGTAAAACATATATAGAAATAGAGGTGACGTTGATTGGTTTTACTATGAAAAGAACCTGGAAATGGAGCTCAAAGTAGGGAAAATTTTCGATTTTTGCTGATGTTCAAAAGTAAACAAATGATGTCATTTTTCAATAAATATCCAAGTAGCTATTCTAATATGCAGTCATGAATGTTTTGACATTATTTATACAATTATTATAATATTGCAGTAGTCTGCATAACAGTAAATCTTGTATTTTATGTTTGAATAAAAATTAAAAATAGAAAGCAAGAGTAATACAAGAGGGGCCAGGAGATGTGACTGATGAACAAAGAAAATGTTACTATTTTAGAGCCAGAAATGTCTGCATTGTTCATTCTGAATCCTATTTTTAAATTGTCATATATTTTAAATATTTGCAAAATTGGCCAAATTGCAAATTTCTGACCAAGTTATTAGGTAGTTGAAATTGGTAAATGGGCAGTTTCTTGTACTCAATCGATAGAAAAAATGGAGTTCTAAAGAAATAGCAATGAGTTTGGTCGACTGGAACAATGGAATTAGCCGAAAATAGAGCTCAAAGTGGGCGAAATAGCTGATTTGCAAATATTGCTGAGGTCGCTAACTTCGCGAAAGCATAATTCCATCAGTTTTCCATCAGATTTCATTCTTTTGGTGTCATTACAATCGGGAAAAGATTCTCTTATCATTTCATAAGAATTTTTTTTTTGTGGAAATTTTGCAACACCAGGAGACACCTCAGGATTTGGGGTTGCGACAGTCAAGGGGTTAAACTAATTTCATAAGCTATTAAACAAAAATATGCCATAATTCTTCAATCGTGCTATAGCCAAAACGTGCAAGACAAAACTGTGTTTAACGACAGTCTACTGTATACAATTTCCAAAATGTTTTAAAAAATGTTGTAATTCTAAACCTGAAGTTTCAAATCAGCAGATAAATCTGTCTGCTTCATCATCTGCTTGACTTGCTTCCTGCTCTCTACAAGCTTCCTAATCTCTGTTGGCAAAACTCCAGGCTCTTCCTCTGGATCTGGCAGAGCTGGCATCTCTTCTTCATCCTACCCAAAATTAAAATAAAAATATTAATGCTCAATATTTTATAAAGGTATTAGTATTTAAAATAGTGTATATTATTAAGTTTCTTGTCTGAAGGAGAGAGAAAAATTTCTTCTTTCTTCAAAATAAAAAAAAAAAGATACTGAAAGTAAGAAGTATTTTAATTCCATGGAGAAAAATGAAAGACTGTAACTAAGCTTTTTTCAAATTCTGAGTAGTTGTCATCAGGCTTAACCCCTTAACTATCAGGATGTCTGAAATTAAGTGATGATGAAGGTCACTGTAGTGGAGAAAAAAGTTTTTGGACAATTCTCTAATCACTGAACTTTGTTTGCAATTTCCAAACCAAATGACCTGCAAATATGGTCCCTTATTTCAAACTTCCATTCAGTGGAGGTTTTGTTACTTGTTTCAAGTTAAAACTTTATAAATGACATTAAATAAACCATTTTTAATTTGACTAGTTGAAGCTTTCCAATAGTATGCTATCAATCAATCAAATCTGATTATTTGAAGCCTTCCCAGTATGCCACTTTTGTTAAGACTCACTAAGTGGTTTATGTCTACCTACATGAATATTTGGCAAACCTTTCTCTTGGTCAATTAGGAGCATTTCTTTAACCAGAGTATTTTTTTTTTTTTATTATCACAGTGGCCGATTCCCACCAAGGCAGGGTGGCCCGAAAAAGAAAAACTTTCACCATCATTCACTCCATCACTGTCTTGCCAGAAGGGTGCTTTACACTACAGTTTTTAAACTGCAACATTAACACCCCTCCTTCAGAGTGCAGGCACTGTACTTCCCATCTCCAGGACTCAAGTCCGGCCTGCCGGTTTCTCTGAACCCCTTCATAAATGTTACTTTGCTCACACTCCAACAGCACGTCAAGTATTAAAAACCATTCGTCTCCATTCACTCCTATCAAACACGCTCACGCACGCCTGCTGGAAGTCCAAGCCCCTCGCACACAAAACCTCCTTTACCCCCTCCCTCCAACCTTTCCAAGGCCGACCCCTACCCCGCCTTCCTTCCACTACAGACTGGTACACTCTTGAAGTCATTCTGTTTCGCTCCATTCTCTCCACATGTCCGAACCACCTCAACAACCCTTCCTCAGCCCTCTGGACAACAGTTTTGGTAATCCCGCCCCTCCTCCTAACTTCCAAACTACGAATTCTCTGCATTATATTCACACCACACATTGCCCTCAGACATGACATCTCCACTGCCTCCAGCCTTCTCCTCGCTGCAACATTCATCACCCACGTTTCACACCCATATAAGAGCGTTGGTAAAACTATACTCTCATACATTCCCCTCTTTGCCTCCAAGGACAAAGTTCTTTGTCTCCACAGACTCCTAAGTGCACCACTCACTCTTTTTCCCTCATCAATTCTATGATTCACCTCATCTTTCATAGACCCATCCGCTGACACGTCCACTCCCAAATATCTGAATACATTCACCTCCTCCATACTCTCTCCCTCCAATCTGATATTCAATCTTTCATCACCTAATCTTTTTGTTATCCTCATAACCTTACTCTTTCCTGTATTCACTTTCAATTTTCTTCTTTTGCACACCCTACCAAATTCATCCACCAATCTCTGCAACTTCTCTTCAGAATCTCCCAAGAGCACAGTGTCATCAGCAAAGAGCAGCTGTGACAACTCCCACTTTGTGTGTGATTCTTTATCTTTTAACTCCACGCCTCTTGTCAAGACCCTCGCATTTACTTCTCTTACAACCCCATCTATAAATATATTAAACAACCACGGTGACATCACACATCCTTGTCTAAGGCCTACTTTTACTGGGAAATAATTTCCCTCTTTCCTACATACTCTAACTTGAGCCTCACTATCCTCGTAAAAACTCTTCACTGCTTTCAGTAACCTACCACCTACACCATACACTTGCAACATCTGCCACATTGCCCCCCTATCCACCCTGTCATACGCCTTTTCCAAATCCATAAATGCCACAAAGACCTCTTTAACCTTATCTAAATACTGTTCACTTTTTGCACTGTCTTTTATCCCCTTTGCCTTTATACAAAGGAACTATGCATGCTCTCTGCCAATCCCTAGGTACCTTACCCTCTTCCATACATTTATTAAATAATTGCACCAACCACTCCAAAACTATATCCCCACCTGCTTTTAACATTTCTATCTTTATCCCATCAATCCCGGCTGCCTTACCCCCTTTCATTTTACCTACTGCCTCACGAACTTCCCCCACACTCACAACTGGCTCTTCCTCACTCCTACAAGATGTTATTCCTCCTTGTCCTATACACGAAATCACAGTTTCCCTATCTTCATCAACATTTAACAATTCCTCAAAATATTCCCTCCATCTTCCCAATACCTCTAACTCTCCATTTAATAACTCTCCTCTCCTATTTTTAACTGACAAATCCATTTGTTCTCTAGGCTTTCTTAACTTGTTAATCTCACTCCAAAACTTTTTCTTATTTTCAACAAAATTTGTTGATAACATCTCACCCACTCTCTCATTTGCTCTCTTTTTACATTGCTTCACCACTCTCTTAACCTCTCTCTTTTTCTCCAGAGTAGTTTAATGTAATTTTAAGTATACTTCCTGGGTGCCAGAAGCAGCATCTAACATGCACAGCACTCTACAGAAGTGCCAGACAAATGACAAATCCCTAGGGTGCATAATTTGCTAAACAAATAATAGTGGTAAAATCTTATTGCAAGATGCGAGTGCTTTTCTTATTTTTTCGCAGAAACTACATTTACATAATTTTCAGCATTTTGAACACTGCATGTCTACTTATTATTAATACATGTGGCCAGTTTCAACTATTCTTTGAGCATTGACAGTCTGGTCCAGGACCAAACTTCCACATTGGCCGCCTGGTCCATCAGGCAGAATAGGCCAGCCAGGATCTCACAGGACTACTAAGCTGTAAAATGTTATAATACTCACTCTATACATAATCAATAAACTTAAACTGGAATGCATGGTGTTCATATTCATGTACAGAATATGAATTTATGTACATTGCTAATAAACTGCTTCATAATCTAAAATTAATGTATTTGCACATCAAAATAACAAACACAATATATAACATTACCTTTCTGTTCATCCGCTTCACTGTAGTAAAGCAAATATTATATTCCTGGATGATACTTGGGTATAGGGAGTTGAAGTCCATTAACAAAATATACTTGTCATAGAAACCTCTTTTGGGTTCCAACACTAAACCTCCAGTGTATGCTGGTTTTCGCCGAGCCTTTCCTCTTTTATTACCCCCACCTTCCTCTTCATCAATCCCAATGTCGTTTGAAACCTAATGATGCACAAATTATTATTACGATCACGATAAGCATCAATACAAGTTAATGTTTAACCAAGAATTTGAGTGGCAGGTAAGATACTTAATTGATTTGAATTTCTCAAGTTCAAGAAATCTAAGTTATAAATGTAAAAACATGTGATTTCATGAATGTAGAACTGAATGTCAGAATGTAATGAAAGTACAGTGGACCCTCGGATAAAGATTTCAATCAGTTCCAGAGAGCTTGTCGTTAACTGATTTTATCATTAGCCGAATTAATTTTCCCCGTGAGAAATAATGCAAATCCAATTAATCCGTTCCAGACACCCAAAAATTATTAAACAAAATAATTTTTTTTCATGAAATATACATTTCCCTACACAGAAAACAATGATACATGCACAATAAACAATACTGAAATGACACTTACCTTTGTTGTGGACTTGTTGAGGAGTGATGAAACAGGACATTGTTTTTCTTGAACACTCTGGGACATGCAGGGAGTGTAGCAGGCATGCAGGGAGTGTAGCAGGCATGCAGGGAGTGTAGCAGGCATGCAGGGAGTGTAGCAGGCATGCAGGGAGTGTAGCAGGCATGCAGGGAGTGTAGCAGGCATGCAAAGTGTAGCAGGCATGCAGTGAGTGTAACAGGCATGCAGGGAGTGTAACAGGCATGCAGGGAGTGTAGCAGGCATGCAGGGAGTGTAGCAGGCATGCAGGGAGTGTAGCAGGCATGCAGGGAGTGTAGCAGGCATGCAGGGAGTGTAGCAGGCATGCAGGGAGTGTAGCAGGCATGCAGGGAGTGTAGCAGGCATGCAGGGAGTGTAGCAGGCATGCAGGGAGTGTAGCAGGCATGCAGGGAGTGTAGCAGGCATGCAGGGAGTGTAGCAGGCATGCAGGGAGTGTAGCAGGCATGCAGGGAGTGTAGCAGGCATGCAGGGAGTGTAGCAGGCATGCAAAGTGTAGCAGGCATGCAGTGAGTGTAACAGGCATGCAGGGAGTGTAACAGGCATGCAGGAGTGTAGCAGGCATGCAGGGAGTGTAGCAGGCATGCAGGGAGTGTAGCAGGCATGCAGGGAGTGTAGCAGGCATGCAGGGAGTGTAGCAGGCATGCAGGGAGTGTAGCAGGCATGCAGGGAGTGTAGCAGGCATGCAGGGAGTGTAGCAGGCATGCAGGGAGTGTAGCAGGCATGCAGGGAGTGTAGCAAGCATGCAGGGAGTGTAGCAGGCATGCAGGGAGTGTAGCAGGCATGCAGGGAGTGTAGCAGGCATGCAGGGAGTGTAGCAGGCATGCAGGGAGTGTAGCAGGCATGCAGAGAGTATAGCAGGCATGCAGGGAGTGTAGCAGGCATGCAGGGAGTGTAGCAGGCATGCAGGGAGTGTAGCAGGCATGCAGGGAGTGTAGCAGGCATGCAGAGAGTATAACAGGCATGCAGGGAGTGTAGCAGGCATGCAGGGAGTGTAGCAGGCATGCAGGGAGTGTAGCAGGCATGCAGGGAGTGTAGCAGGCATGCAGGGAGTGTAGCATGCATGCAGGGAGTGTAGCAGGCATGCAGGGAGTGTAGCAGGCATGCAGGGAGTGTAGCAGGCATGCAGGGAGTGTAGCAGGCATGCAGGGAGTGTAGCAGGCATGCAGGGAGTGTAGCAGGCATGCAGGGAGTGTAGCAGGCATGCAGGGAGTGTAGCAGGCGTGCAGGGAGTGTAGCAGGCATGCAGAGAGTATAACAGGCATGCAGGGAGTGTAGCAGGCATGCAGGGAGTGTAGCAGGCATGCAGGGAGTGTAGCAGGCATGCAGGGAGTGTAGCAGGCATGCAGGGAGTGTAGCAGGCATGCAGGGAGTGTAGCAGGCATGCAGAGAGTATAACAGGCATGCAGGGAGTGTAGCAGGCATGCAGGGAGTGTAGCAGGCATGCAGGGAGTGTAGCAGGCATGCAGGGAGTGTAGCAGGCATGCAGGGAGTGTAGCAGGCATGCAGGGAGTGTAGCAGGCATGCAGAGAGTATAACAGGCATGCAGAGAGTATAACAGGCATGCAGGGAGTGTAGCAGGCATGCAGGGAGTGTAGCAGGCATGCAGGGAGTGTAGCAGGCATGCAGGGAGTGTAGCAGGCATGCAGGGAGTGTAGCAGGCATGCAGGGAGTGTAGCAGCATGCAGGGAGTGTAGCAGGCATGCAGGGAGTGTAGCAGGCATGCAGGGAGTGTAGCAGGCATGCAGGGAGTGTAGCAGGCATGCAGGGAGTGTAGCAGGCATGCAGGGAGTATAGCAGGCATGCAGGGAGTGTAGCAGGCATGCAGGGAGTGTAGCAGGCTTGCTACACTCCCTGTAAGCATACTTGCACCTTTTGCAACAACAGCTTCCTTGACTGCCTTTCTGTTGGCCAAGATAGTAGCAATGGTTGATTGGGGCTTGTTATACAATCGGGCTAGCTCGGAGGCACGCACTCCACTTTCGTACTCTGCGATTCTCTCTTTCTTCAATTCGATAGTATTTCTCACCCTTTTTACCACAGGGTTGGCACTAGAAGCTTTCGTTGGGCCCATGGTGGCTTATTTAGCAGCTACAAGCACTAAAAACAATGGAATAATACAAAATGTATCGCATGTATGCGTGGAACCGTCTGTCCTGGCTTGTAAATAATGGTACACTGGCTGTACATAGTGGCCTGGCAGCCACAGGCGGCCAAGGCCCCATGCGGACGCGTTTGGGATGAATGTCCCTAACCGACTTTTTAATCGTTGGCCGAGCCAATATTTTTACGCAAGGATGCATCGATACCTGATTTTTTTGCTATCCGATGGCATCGTTACCAGAGGGTCCACCAGAGGGTGTGTGAAGCATAGAAGAATGTTGCAGAGGCTGGAGGCAAAGGAGCTGTTGTGTTTGAGATCAATGTGTGGTACGAGGGCAATAAAGAGTGAAGAAATCAGAAGACTGTGTGGATTAATTTAAGGTATAATTCGGATAATAGAGGCATCACTGAGATGGCTACCAAAGCTCTACTTCAAAGCAAACAGAAATTTACAAATACTGTAAAGGATTGATCTGTACAACTTTTTACTAGCAGTAGTCTAAGGGAGATGCAGCATTTTTATAATAAGTACTAAAAAGGTGTTCTCCCTCAATTCCCATGTCAGCTTACAAGCGTGATGTGCCTTCATAGCACTTAAATTTATTCCCAATATTACTGTACAACAGTTTTTATTTATCTTTGTGTTTAACAATGACTGTGATAGTAAAATTATAACGCAACAACGTTATTAAAAGTTCCACTACTAATGGACTTAGCTTTGTGTTACAAAGCCATAGCAACAAAATTTACTCGTAACACTACTGCAATTATTGACCTTAAAACTTACCATAAATGTTAAATGTAAAATTATTGTAACCATTTAAATGACCACAAAAATGTGGGCAATTTGTTTTTATCATGGTATGACTTCAGATTTTAAATGTTAAAAGATACAAAAAGACTGAAAACCACTAGTGTAGGGGATTTCCCAGATAGGGGTTAAAGAATCTGAATGCCTTATTTGGCAAGGCTTGAAAGTCACATAGGCATGCATGAGTTTGTTAATAATTGTTAATACAAAATGTGATAAGGTGGAATGGTTTGTGAAGCAGACTCCAAACAAGATATCAAAAATAGAAAAGGTACAGTACAACAAAGCTTTTCTCATGTCAACGGCTTGGAAGTTCAGAGGCAGTGACCACAAGCCCCAGTCTATCACACACAAACTTATACAAGAACAAAGGTACAGTAATTTATTCTATTCTAAAGAGCAAAGCATATTACAAATTTTGTACAGAGTATGGAATGAATTTGTTGAATCTTAAATAATCCTTGACTTGCTATACTATTTTTATAACGTGAATGTTCGTATAATACTACTACTTTCAACAAACCAGCCGTATCTCACCAAAGCAGGATGGCTTATGGAGCAAGAATTCCGTTTCACTTCGCCATGCAGATAAAAGGAAATAAGAACAAGGACTAGAAAGAAAAGAGAAGAAAACCCAGAGGTGTGCATGTGTATATACAGTGGACCCCCGGTTTACGATATTATTTCATTCCAGAAGTATGTTCAGGTGCCAGTACTGACCGAATTTGTTCCCATAAGGAATATTGTGAATTAGATTAGTCCATTTCAGACCCCCAAACATACACATACAAACGCACTTACATAATTGGTCGCATTGGGAGCTGATCGTAAACCGGGGGTCCACTGTATATGTTTGTACATATATGTGTTATAGGTAGTAGGTTGGTAGACAGCAACCACCCAGGGAGGCACTACCGTTCTACCAAGTGAGTGTAAAACGGAAACCTGTAATTGTTTTACATGATGGTAGGATTGCTGGTGTCTTTTTTGTCTCATAAACATGCAAGATTTCAGGTACGTCTTGCTACTTCTACTTATGCTTAGGTCACACTACACATACATGTACTGTACTTCCCTGGGCAGTTGCTGTCTACCAACCTACTACCTAAGTTCATATAATACTGTATATACAAAACTAACACACTGATTTTTTTTTTTTTTTGGTTGGGGAGAGGGGTGGGATTAAATTATGAGGAATCAAATATGAAAGGGGAGCTGACACAATTACTTTTTGCTGATGATACTGTGCTTTTGGGAGACTCTGAAGAGAAGTTGCAAAGGCTAGTGGAAAGTTGAAAAGTGAATATAGACAAGAGTAAGATGATGAGAGTATCAAACAAGTAAAGAAAAACTGGATATCAAATTGGAGGGCAGGAGTATGGAAGAAGTGAACGTGTTGAAATATTTAGGAGTAAACTTGTCGGAGGTTAGGTCTATGAAGGACAAGGTAAACCATGGAATTGACGAAGGAAAAAAGGTGGGTGGTGCATCAATGTATTTGTGGAGACAAAAAAAAAAAAAAAAAAAAAGAATGTATGAGGGTATAGTGGTACTAACACTCTTATATAGGTGTGAAGCATGGGTTATAAATGTTGCAGCGAGGAGGAAGCTGAAGGCAGTGGAGATGTCGTGCCTAAAGGCAACATGTGGTGTAAATATTATGCAGAGAGTTCGTAGTGTGGAAATTAGGAGGAGGTATGGAGTTACTGAAAGTATTAGTCAGAGGGCTGAAGAGGGGTTGTTGAAGTGGTGTTGTCATTTAGAGAGGCTGGAGTAAAGTAGAATGACTTGGAGCATATAAATCTGTAGTGGAAGGAAGGCGAGATAGGGGTTGTCCTAGGAAAGGTTGGAGGGAGGGGTAAACACGGTTTTGTGGGCAAGGGGCTTAGACTTCCAGCAAGCATGTTAGATAGGAGTGAATGGATATGAATGGTTTTTGGGACCCGATGAGCTGTTGGAATGTGAGCAGGGCAATATTTTGTGAAGGGATTCAGGGAATCCGGTTAGCCAGACTTGAGCCATGGAAATGAGAAGTACAATGCCTGCACTTTAAAGGAGGGGTTTAAGATATTGGCAGTTTGGAGGGACATCTAAACTGTCATATCTGAGTGCCTCTGAATGAAGTTGATTTTTTTTTTTTTTTGGGGTCACCCTGCCTCTGTGGGAGGCAGCTAGTTTTAAATAGTTTTTTTTTTTACATTACCTTTTGGTTTGCTTTGTTAAATTGCTTATCAGGAACAATGAAGTTCTTTTCAGCAAAAGCATGGAGCAGAAGCAGCTCATTCCTCTCTGACCGACCACCAAGGAGAGTACGTGACATTACATTTCCTAGGGTGCAAAATTTAAAAAAAATTAACCAGTAAGGTGATGTTATAAATGCCCCAGAATTTTTTTTTTCAAGATAATACATACAAAACCCAACCCTTTTCCCCTGCCTCATTTTTATACGGAAAACAAAAATGAAAGGAGTTAGTGTGGTAAAGGTTGCAAAAATATGAAATAAAAAGTAGTGTAATTTTCTATACAGTAAGGCCTCGCCTTACGGCGTTCCACTAATACGACGATGTCAAATTATGACCAAAATTTGCTATACAGCAAGCGGTCTTTCAAATACGGCGCCCCCCACCCGGTTTGTTTACATTTTCCGTGACCACATCTATTACGTCAGGAAACTTTCAAAAATTTCAAGTGCTTTAAAGTTACTGCATATTTTATATGTACTCTGATAATTATACTTATGTGTACTTGTACCTAAATATACTTACACACTGTGCTGGTGTGCAGGTACACATTAAAATCGTTAAGTCTCTCTCTACTCATGACGCCAATACTACGTAATAATAATCACTCTTGGGCACACTAAATGTCTTATTTTACATCAATATAGGCATTTTCATTAATCCATCTATGATATTTTCCTCAAAATTATATATGAAACCCATTACATAGCATATAAACATGATACATACACTCACAATAAAAATTGATGTAAATATAAGATTTGTTTACAAAGCGGCTGTGTAAGTAGTGTCGGAAGAATTACGTTTTCTCTAGTCAATGGGGGGTAACTGTAGAATAATATTCTTTTCGTATGCCTTTACTCTATATATAGCAATTTACGACCCTTGCGGGTTTAGGGCTTTTTATTATAATAATATTATTATTATAATTAATATTAATAATAATATTATTATTATAATTAATATTAATAATAATAATAATATTATTATTATTAATATTATTATCTTCATTCACTCTAAAAAAGGTGTGTTGCTGTTTGTTTATTCTGTACTAACGTGTACAACTTGTACACAATGTAAGAGTGTTTGTATTGTGAGGTAATTATTATTATAATAAAAAAATATTGAGGTAAATGTTTTACAAACTCTTACAAACGTACGTGAATGAACTAAAAGTAGACACATATTAATACGCATTTATTTCGCCTGACCAAGTGATCACCCACTACCTGTTCAGTTTGTGTTCTTACATTGTCTAAACTCTGTATCTCGTTTACTCTTTCGTTAACTAGATGGCTCTCATTGAGGATGGCGTCTAAGGTTAGCTGTGATAAAAAGAGAAGTTGTAAGCCTCTTGCTTTAAGTGCCAAGTTAGAGGACGATGGTGTTCCATTCTGATTTTATTCAATAAACACCCTGCCACTCACCTCTCACACATTAATATTAATATTTTAAGGTAAGTAATAAGTGTACTGTGTGTATCTTACCTTTTATTGTGCTTTTAATGCCTATTTCTATTGCTAACTTAATATAAGTTAGTGTAAACTTGTTGTCTGGCATTTATTGCATATTTTATGTGTGCTCTGATAATAATACTTGTGAACCTGTGTGGTAGCCGGGTGGAGGGACAACATTACGTTTTCTCTGCTTAGTCATCAGAGAAAATGTGTATGAATCTGCGTTTGGCCCAGCAACTCCCCCACTCCACTTTTGTTTACAATTTTCGGCATGAATTATTCATTACTTCTACCTTTGTTTATGATGGCATCTAAAGGTAGTTGTTAGAAATGATTAAATTCAGTGAACAAGGTATGTCGATGTTAATAATATGGCTCTGGGCCATGGTGTAGGTGGCTGGTAGGTGTAGCCCGCCTGGGCTACACCTACCGGCTACCTACACTGACTTCCTACAAATAAATACTACTCACCTCTCTTCCTACATTAAGACTACACATATTTTAAGGTAAATAATGAGTGTACTGTATGTGTATTTAACCTTTGAGATGTTTTAAATATCATATATTAAGTATGAGATGGGGAGCCAGGGCTACCTACACCTGGGCTACCTGCACCTGACTTCCTACAAACAAGTACTACTCACCTCTCTCCCTACATTAAGAAAACAAATACTTTAAGATAAGTAATGAATTTACTGTGAATGTATTTCACTTTGTGTGTTTTTAATGCCTAGTTCTATTACTAACTTAATATAATTTAGTGTAAACTTGTTGTCTGGCATTTATATGCATTTATAAATGGAAAAAAATGGCATTCTGCCTTCCAGCGATGTCTGCTTTCCGGCGACAGCCTGGAACCTAACCCGCCGTATAAGTGGGGCCCTACTGTATTAAAACAGATTTCTTTCTTCTTTCAACACACCGGCCGTATCCCACCGAGGCGGGGTGGCCCAAAAGGAAAAACGAAAGTTTCTCCTTTTACATTTAGTAATATATACAGGAGAAGAGGTTACTAGCCCCTTGCTCCCGGCATTTTAGTCGCCTCTTACAACACGCATGGCTTACGGAGGAAGAATTCTGTTCCACTTCCCCATGGAGATAAGAGGAAATAAACAAGAATAAGAACTAGAAAGAAAATAGAAGAAAACCCAGAGGGGTGTGTATATATGTGCTTGTACATGTATGTGTAGTGTGACCTAAGTGTAAGTAGAAGTAGCAAGACGTACCTGAAATCTTGCATGTTCATGAGACAGAAAAAAGGACACCAGCAATCCTACCATCATGTAAAACAATTACAGGCTTTCGTTTTACACTCACTTGGCAGGACGGTAGTACCTCCCTGGGCGGTTGCTGTCTACCAACCTACTACCTATTAAAACAGATTTATAAAGATAAATAAGGTAAGGAAAGCAAGGTAATATTATGATCTATGAATAGATAATGGTGAAATAACAAAACATTTTGGTAACATATTTAATGTAAATGATCCAGAGAAGGCAGAAATTTCATGCCAGGGAGAAGAAAATGATCCATTATCAATAACAGAGATGGGAGTGAGTGATGGAGGGAGGAGGAGGCTGACAACAGTGGAAACATCTTGTCTGAGATCAAATATGTGATGTGAATATCATGCACAAAATAATTAATAAAAACACTTAAAAGACAAGGATATTTAAAATATAATTCCAACAGAGAAAAATAGGGGGTTCAGCTTATTTGGTCAAGCTGAAAGAATGAGGTAAATTAATTTGACAAGACATAAAAATCTGGAGTATAGAGGTAATATAATAGACATCCACAGGAGTATTGGAAGGTGTGAAAAAGATACTGAGGGATAGATGCTTCACAATTCAGCAGGCACATCATACATGAGCATATTGTCCAGTGGGCAATTAGCAACAAAATGATGTTCAATGAAGACATACTTCAGATACTCTGGTACATAAAAAACCGAGGAAATATAGATTGGAAAGGAGTATAAAACAAAATTAACTCAAATGATAGAGGAAAAGACTGACATGAGGGACTCAGGAGTGATATCTGACAAGTAAATGCAATACTGTACATAATTTGCACCAATGCATTTCCATAAAAATAATTTCAAGTATGTAAATTAAATTCCTTCAATGACTAAGACATAATGGAACTGCCAATGCTGTCATATGGATACATTACCAGCAATATTTGTTATCTGAAGGGCTAAAGGTAGCACATTTAGCTCACACATGAGTCGAAGAACATACAAAGCATCCTGCATGGTGAGTGATACTAGCTGAAGTAAACTTGCTGATGATCTGTAATGTTCAAATTAAATTGTGTTGAATAATTTTTTATAAAGATCATTATTTAAAATAAATGGAGAGAACAGCATAATTACATTTTCAGCACTTTATACAAAATATTCTTACAATTCATAATATCAAAGAATACAATTTTTTTTCTTTTTACAAAATACTTACCCAAACATCTTTTTAACTTCCTCTACAGTCAAGCATTTGAGGTGATTCTCAGGCACATGAAGTACTTGTGAGACCAATGGTCCCAGTTCATAACTCTTGGCTCTAATAAGTTCTTTGGAGGAGATTTTCAAGTCACATATAAGACGGCCACACACTGCCGTTCTTTCTGCAAATCCTTTTACCTAATTTTAGAAATCAGAAATTAGTTGATAATTTTTATAATTATATAATAATTCATTAACTTGCCCATCAGAATGTTCTATTAAAAATTCTCAATAAAACAATCATCTTTGCTGGTTACTTCACCTGAACCTATTTGTCTATGCCAGCTTAGGCACACTTATTCTCTAATTTATTGTTTATTCCTGGAAGGCAACCAATTCTCATCAAGGCATGATGATCCCCTCCCTCAAAAGAGAAAACACATTCACCATCACTCATTCAATAGCTATCTTGAGAGGTGTGCAGACATCACAAGTCGAATGACCTTTAGAATTGCAAAATTCCCACCCAACCTTCAAAGTGAAGACAAAATACTTCTCACCTTCAGGAATCTGGTTCAACTTGACTGGTTTCTCTGAATCTCTTTATAAACCTCCCCTTACGCACACTAAAAACTACATCTCCACAGTCCGTCCCGTAGTTCTACGGCTCTGAAGCCAGGGTCCAAGCCTTAGAACTACATGAGCTCAGCTCACTCAGATAAACTGTGAGCAGTAAATTCGGGCCTAGATATGAGACAATGCATTTATGTGGTAAGTGTGCACCATATAAAACAAATCCTGCAGCAAACAGTGCATAATGAGAAAAAACTAATCATGTTTTTGGATTAAAATAGTGACTTTGCAGTGTATTTTCATATAGTTTTTACAGCTGTATTTGTAGTTTCTTGGTCTCATTTGATAGAATGGAAGATATATTACAGAAATAGAGATGATTTTTGACTGGTTTTAGTACTCAAAACAGCTTGAAATTGAGCTCAAAGTAGCATAAATTTTAAATTTTTGAAGTTCAAGAGTAAACAAATCACATCACGCATCCACTACACGTCAGCTGGTATGTCTAATGTGTGTTCACGAATGCACTGATATTATTTATACAATTATTACGGTATTGTTGATGCGCAAATATAGCTGACACAGCAAAATTCATGAGCATAATTTTATCAATTTTTGATCAAATGTTGTGCAAATAAAAATTCCTTGTGAAAAAATAAAAATAGAATTCATCTGTAAAGCCTAGAAACCTAACTAATAAACAGAGGAAGTGTTATTTTAGTGCCAGGAATGCCTACATTATTTATTCTGGACCCTATTTTGAAATTAGAATATTTTGAGCTGTGTGAAATTGGCCAAATTACCAATTTCCAATCACTTTATTGGGTAGCTGAAATAGTTGATTGGGTGATTTCTTGTACTCAATAGATTAAATGGAAGAATTTGATCAAATAGAACAATGCAATTAGCAGAAAATAGGACACAAAGTGGGCAAAATCACCGATGCGTAAATATCACTGACACGGCAAAATTTGCGAGAGCATAATTTCATCAATTTTTGATCGAAGTTCATACTTTTTGTTTTATTACCTTCAGAAAAAGATTCACTATCATTTCAGAAGGAAAAAAAAATAATAGTGTGTGTGTGGGGGGGGGGAAGAGAGGAGATTCCTGGACCCTGTGGGGAATTTTCAGAATGGAGGACTGGACCCTTAAAAGGGTTAAAGCACATGTCTCACATCCACACACAAGTGTGGGTAATCCAATACTCTCGTACATTTACTCTTGCTTCCAAACATAAAATCTTACTTTCCACAGATGCCTCAACACACCACCTCCCCCAATCCCCATCTATTCCACGCTTCACCTCGTCTTTCATAGACCTATCTGAAAACATGTTCACTCCCAAATATCTGCATCCATTTTTCACCATACTCCCTCCCAGCAATTTAATGTTCAATCTTTTTGCCTTATTTTCATTTTTTAATGGACCCGGTACATCTGTCAATGGTTCTGGGAATCATCCCGATTGTGAACCAGGCCTACTCAGTAGCAAAGGAAATGTTCATTTAAAGAACTAATGTATTCTGTAATATGTGAAAGTAAAAATGTGTAAAATGAATACAAGAAATTTGCAAGATTTATATGCCACCTTACATGTTCATGGGACAGGACACAGACTCATCTACCTCAGACTGGCTAGTGTGAACACAAGACACTATCTGAGGGCTAGCTGTTATGTGGGTTTTGATAGCTAATGAATCTTTTGTTTTAGAATTTATACTGCAGAAATGTTAGTGGTAATTTTTTTTATCAAAATAACTGCATCCTATGTAGTGTTGGTAGACAGCAACCACCCAGGGAGGTACTACTGTTCTGCCAAGTAAGGGTGAAGTGGAAACCTGCAATTGTTTTACACGATGGTAGGATTGCTGGTGTCTTTTTTGTCTTCAACATGCTCATTAACAAGTATATCCTGCTACCTCTACTTACACCGAGGTCACACTACACATGCACATGTATATACACCCATCTGAGTTTTCTTCTATTTCCTTTTATCTCCATGGGAAAGCGGAAAAAAATTCGTCCTTCATAAGCCATGTGTGTCATAAGAGGTGACTAAAATGCCAGGAGCAAGAGGCTAGTAGCCCCTTCTCTTGCATCAATTTTTTTTTTTTTTCAACAAGTCGGTCGTCTCCCACCGAGGCAGGGTGACCCAAAAAAAGAAAGAAAATCCCCAAAAAGAAAATACTTTCATCATCATTCAACACTTTCACCACACTCACACATTATCACTGCTTTTGCAGAGGTGCTCAGAATATAACAGTTTAGAAGCATATACGTATAGAGATACACAACATATCCCTCCAAACTGCCAATATCCCAAACCCCTCCTTTAAAGTGCAGGCATTGTACTTCCCATTTCCAGGACTCAAGTCCGACTATATGAAAATAACCGGTTTCCCTGAATCCCTTCACTAAATATTACCCTGCTCACACTCCAACAGATCGTCAGGTCCCAAGTATCATTCGTCTCCATTCACTCCTATCTAACACGCTCATGCACGCTTGCTGGAAGTCCAAGCCCCTCACCCACAAAACCTCCTTTACCCCCTCTTTCCAACCCTTTCGAGGACGACCCCTACCCCTCTTTCCTTCCCCTATAGATTTATATGCTTTCCATGTCATTCTACTTTGATCCATTCTCTCTAAATGACCAAACCACCTCAACAACCCCTCTTCTGCCCTCTGACTAATGCTTTTATTAACTCCACACCTTCTCCTAATTTCCACACTCCGAATTTTCTGCATAATATTTACACCACACATTGCCCTTAGACAGGACATCTCCACTGCCTCCAACCGTCTCCTCGCTGCTGCATTTACCACCCAAGCTTCACATCCATATAAGAGTGTTGGTACTACTATACTTTCATACATTCCCTTCTTTGCCTCCATAGATAACGTTTTTTGACTCCACATATACCTCAACGCACCACTCACCTTTTTTCCCTCATCAATTCTATGATTAACCTCATCCTTCATAAATCCATCCGCCGACAATTACTAATTACTAATGTATAAATTTTCAGGTCACCCTGCCTTGGTGGGAGAGGGCCGGTACATTGAAAGGGGAGGGGAGGCTGCATAAAAAATAAAATGAAAATTACCAACCGTGAACTTGGGCATCTGTGTTCGCTTTAGTCGACCAATACGAGACCAGTGAGGAACCTTAGTAATAGCGAGACGGTGAAGTAGCACACACAGGTCAAACTCAAAAATGTCATGACCTACAACAATATCCGGATCTATCTTGTGAATTTTAGCAAGCAGGTATCCCAAAAGAGCTCTTTCAGAATCACTCTTTTCAATTTTAGTGCGGTGTCTGATGAGGGCATCTTTCAGATTCCAAGGCCAAGTAACATCTACTGGATGTGTCATTGCTGGTGAAGACATTGAAAGATTAGAAAGACAAACTAAATTAAGATTTTAAATTATTTCTGCTAATTTACTAATATTTACAAAATATTATGTAATGAAATAAAACATGACTTAGGCTGGAAATCCCCTGTGCCTGATCTTAAGTTTTGGTTTTGAAAGACATCTCTTAATATTTAGGTCTGAAGTAAGACTACCCATATTAACCTAGTCAACAAAGATACTGCCACTTACAGTTCGTAAGCCAAAGGAGCCATTATAATTTATCAGGTATATCTCTTCCAATTTAGTTCTTTTCCTAACATTTCAGTCATTTCATGAAAATAAAGTGATATTACTCGACATCAGAACAATCCCATTTTCACTCAAAACTATTCATCAATTCTGTAATCAACTCTTTTCCAGCATGTTTCCACAATATACAATATTATTATCACATTAAAAAATAGTCATAATAGCACGAATGCAGTAATTTACAAATAACCCGCGCTCAAGAGAGGAAACGTGAGGTTTCAAATCATCCTGAACCATTGTCAAGTCACAACTGAGTGAAAAAATAGAGAAAGCTACAGGAGAGGACAGAAAGTGGAAGAAAGTAATAGTAGGGTGACCCAGAGAAAAAACCACAATAATTTTTGTTAATTACTATTATTATTAGGAACAACAGCAATGGTAGTAGTTCAATGATCCAAGATATCTTCCTGATGTGCCTGTACCTTTTCCATCTGTCTCATATTTCTTCAACTTGCCACATTTCCTTTAAAATTGACTGAGCCTTGGGCTGTTGGGAAGAAATCATCTGCAAAAAGAGGCTTTTCTTATGTGTTTCCTGGATTGTTCATCAGGCTGCCATTGTCTGTAAAGTCAGGAATCTGTATATGCATTTAAATCTCAGTTGAAAGCACATTTCTTTTCTAGAGTTTATGATCTAGATGATCATACTGTCACTCTGGAATACAAACTTTTAGTATTTCATCACTGCTGCTGAATTTATAGCTTCATACAATTGTTTGTTAATTTCTCAAAAGAACAGGCATGGTACACAGGCACACAAACATTTGTCCCCATGGGAGGCAGAGGAGCACCGAAGTAGCCTTACTGCCCCAAGAAAGAAAAGGAAAGGAAAGAAGGAAGAGGAAATTCAGAAGACAGAAGTTGGAGAAAGGAGCCAGTGCTAAATATGTAGGAGTTACATAGGAATGAGGAATAACTGGCTTTGGTCCAAGGAAGAGGAGGTGAGGCCAAACTCCTTTGATGTAAATATTCATTTTACATTATGCAAAATGGAAAACTCACCGCAGAAATGTGACTGAAATGGAGGCTGTGGCGGAGCTCGATCAAGAGGAAACTCATGATGTACAAGACATGAAACCATTGTAATTTCATGCTGATAGTTCTTGGGATTTACAGTTGTTCGCATACATAAAGACATCACTACCAGTGGAGGCATGGCCAAGCCTATTACAGGTGTCACATAGTCTGGTTTAACAGATACTGCCTAAAGACAAAGCATTGTATATATTAATATTAAAACTAATTTGCAAACCTTTAAACACTGCAACAACTTGGTGTCAGAGCAAATAAATTTCTTAGAAGCAAATAGTGCCAAAAATTGTAAAATAATGTTACTGTGTAATATAACTGGTGAAGGTGGTTTACCTTAATTAGTATAGTCAGGGATGGGATTATGGAGAAAAAAAAAAAAAAAAAAAAAAAAAAAAAAAAAAAAAAAAAAAAAGAAGGCATTTGGAAGTCAAAGCTCTGATCCACACATCTAAAATCTTTACTTTATGTAAACAAAGACTAAGGTGAGCAAATCAACCTCAGTCTGCAAAGTAGGTAGGTAGGTTTAACCAGAGGTTTGGTAAGTTGGGGGAGGAAGAAGGATGGGTAAGGACGGAATGTGGAAAAGGGGTAGGTAGGAGTAATAAAGGTAAGTGGTCTTTATTACCCCCTCTGCTCACCCCCCCCTACCTACCCCCTTTTCCTCATTCATAGAAAAACCATCTCTCTCCTACACTGCTGAATATAAACTTGAAATTTTAAGTACTACTTAAAGAAGAATAAACAAATGCTATACATAAATTACTTTATAAACAAAACAAATAAAAATGAAGAAAAGAAGATCACTATAGTAAGCCTATTGGCCCATGCTAGACAGATCCTTCTCAAAGCCTACCCTTCTCACTCATAATTTTTTTTTTTTCAACAAGTCGGCCGTCTCCCACCAAGGCAGGGTGACCCAAAAAAGAGAGAAAATCCCCAAAAAGAAAATACTTTCATCATCATTCAACACTTTCACCACACTCACACATTATCACTGTTTTTGCAGAGGTGCTCAGAATACAACAGTTTAGAAGCATACACATATAAAGATACATAACATATCCCTCATAATTGTCGAATCTAATTTGAAAACTACCAAAGGTTATTGCCTTGATGGGTATACCTGGTAGACGATCAGATAATTTACACAACCAATTTCTGAAGGAAATAATAAAATTTACTAACCTCTATTTTACACCAAGAAACAGCTGCAGAAGGCAACTGAGGGAACTTAACATCAAGCCATCCTGGGCCTCTGATGCGTCGGTCAAGTAGAAATAATTCCAAGGCAGACGATTTGGTGCCAAAAACATGGCTAAATGTTTCACCACATAAATTACTGGGAAGAGCTGGGAGATCAGCCTGAAGGTGAGAAAATTTTCAAAGTTATCAAAAGCATTTAGGACGTTATTCCCAAATATAAAAATAAAAAAGTACATCAAACTACAACTTTACTACTTGATCATTTGCCAAATGAATTTTTTTCACTGAAATCATGATCTGAAAATCTGTACTCTCCTAAAAACCTGTATCAGTAATTAGTGCATCTTTGTATCTAAATACTCCTGTTGTTTTTTATTTCTTATTCTCTTTCTAAATCTCTGATGCCTCATGCTCTAAGAGTTTCTCTTGAGATTACAGAAATACCAAATGTATGATCATTGATAAGGCAGACAGGATTTAGCTATATTCTGTTTATTTTGCCAAAAGCTTAGTTATTTTTTTTATTTTTTTTTTTATTAACACACTGGCCGATTCCCACCAAGACAGGGTGGCCCGAAAAAGAAAAAACTTTCACCATCATTCACTCCATCACTGTCTTGCCAGAAGGGTGCTTTACACTACAGCTTTTAAACTGCAACATTAATACCCCTCCTTCAGAGGGGTGTTATGTAATGCCGGTTTCCCTGAATCCCTTCATAAATATTACTTTGCTCACACTCCAACAGCACGTCAAGTATTAAAAAAACCCTTTGTCTCCATTCACTCCTATCAAACACGCTCATGCATGCCTGCTGGAAGTCCAAGCCCCTCGCACACAAAACCTCCTTTACCCCCTCCCTCCAACCTTTCCTAGGCCAACCCCTACCCCGCCTTCCTTCCACTACAGATGATACTCTCTTGAAGTCATTCTGTTTCGCTCCATTCTCTCTACATGTCCGAACCACCTCAACAACCCTTCCTCAGCCCTCTGGACAACGTTTTGGTAATCCCGGCACCTCCTCCTAGCTTCCAAACAACGAATTCTCTGCATTATATTCACACCACACATTGCCCTCAGACATAACATCTCCACTGCCTCCAGCCTTCTCCTCGCTGCAACTTTCATCACCCATGCTTCACACTCATATAAGAGCGTTGGTAAAACTATACACTCATACATTCCCCTCTTTGCCTCCAAGGACAAATTTTTTTGTCTCCACCAGACTCCTAAGTGCACTGCTCACCCTTTTCCCTCCCCCAATTCTATGGTTCACCTCATCTTTCATAGACACATCCGCTGACATGTCCACTCCCAAATATCTGAATACATTCACCTCCTCCATACTATCTCCCTCCAATCTGATATCCAATTTTTCATCACCTAATCTTTTTGTTATCCTCATAACCTTACTCTTTACTGTAATCACTTTTAATTTTTTTCTTTTGCATACCCTACCAAATTCATCCACCAACCTCTGCAACTTCTCTTCAGAATCTCCCAAGAGCACAGTGACATCAGCCAAGAGCAACTGTGACAACTCCCACTTTATGCGTGATTCTTTATCTTTTAACTCCACGCCTCTTGCCAAGACCCTCGCATTTACTTCTCTTACAACCCCATTTATAAATATATTAAACAACCACGGTGACATCACACATCCTTGTCTAAGGCCTACTTTTACTGGGAAATAATCTCCCTCTTTCCTACATACTCTAACTTGAGCCTCACTATCCTCGTAAAAACTCTTCACTGCTTTCAGTAACCTACCTCCTACACCATACACCTGCCACATTGCCCCCCTATCCACCCTGTCATATGCCTTTTCCAAATCCATAAATGCCACAAAGACCTCTTTAGCCTTACCTAAATACTGTTCACTTATATGTTTCACTGTAAACACCTGGTCCACACACCCCCTACCTTTCCTAAAGCCTCCTTGTTCATCTGCTATCCTATTCAGTGGTGACGTGTACTTAGCTCAGTGGTGACGTGTACTTAGCTCAGTGGTGACGTGTACTCTAGCTCTGTGTAGACCTGTTTTCGTGTGCTCTTGAGTGGTGACTGTACTGACTCTGTGAAGATGTTGTCTTGTTTGCTCCCGGGACTGAACCAAGATGCTTCCATCGAGCAACTTTACCAGCAACTTAGGAAGATATTGAAGCAGCGATATGATGGAGATTACGTGCGATAATTTTGACCGAGGAAAACAAGAGGATTGTAGTAGTCTCCTGTTTCGAGGGTCCTCAGGTCAAGAAGGGATCGTGGTCAGTGGCTGGACAGCAGGGGGACGACGAAGTTGGGACGATAAGAAGACGAATGGAAAGCCAGAAGAAACGATGAAGAGAAAGAGACTGCTGTGGAAACTCCAAGCATTCTCGGTGCTACCGACGAATGTGAGTTATATTGGATGTCACGACGATCGACAAGGAAGTAAGATATTTTGTTGTTGTTTGGGGATAGCAGGTTTTGATACATGGAATAGGGGCATTTGCTTGAAGGACAAGGAGTAGGAGATAAAGGGTATGCTTTCCTGGGGTGGGATGTAGGACATTTGTTAGCGGCTTGACAACATCATGAACGGGTAATGGGATCAATCCTATTATTTGCCTCAGTGCTGGAGTCAAGATGTAGGCAAGCGTTAGAAGTTGAGGATTTAAGTAGAAAGTTTCAGGACAGCTATAGACATGATTAGGAAAGAAGGGGGGCGCCCCTCTGTATAGTGGCATTTTGCCAGAAGTGGTGTTGGTACTGAATGGTTGTCCAGAGCAATTGGTATTAATTGTTGGTGGATGTAAACACTGTAAGGAAATGCTGTACCATTCATTGACAACTGGGCAACTTCTATGGCCGAAATGACATGTATGCCAGGGATGGGGTATACTTATCCAGGGCAGGTTGGGTTCGCGGTTTTCTTGCTAATACAGTTGAGGGGGTTGTTGGACTTTAAACTAGGGATAGTTAGAGGGTGTGGGTTTAGAAATGATTAATAATGAGTATGGATATATTGGATATGACTCGGTGGGGAGAAGGACAGACTTGTTGAAAAAAAAAAAAAAAAAATAAGAATCTTAATAAGGTTACTTGTCAATGGAGTATACTCTGGTAATGATAATTAGAAATGTGTAAAGACAAAGATGGAATAGGAAAAATGTGCCAGAAGAAAAAAACATATGATGGTATTTTCATGCTAACAAGTAGAAGTGCAGAAAAAAATTAATGTACTACGTTTGGCAACTAGAATGTGCTGGGGGAACTTTGATATCATTGCACTTAACTGAAACGTGTGGTATGATTAAAGAGTCGGGATATGACTGCTGAGTGTTAATTTCAGGGAGTTAGTTATTCAATGTGGATGACTGTAATGGGGAAGGGTGGGTTGAGGTTTGCATTGTATGTTCAAGAAAATATTAATTGTTGCAATAAAAAAAGTATTAAAAATAGATGGAAGCAGTAACAGAGTTGTTTGGGTTGAGTTAGTGGCAGGGTCAAGAAAAACTAATTCTAGTGTATTATTACCGAACTCCAGGCATGGATCACGATAGAGGGAGATTATTTGGAACGAAATTGTTAGGGCTTCTGGATACAGTAACGTAGTAATAGTAGGGGACTTTAACTTTAGCCAAATTGACTCGGAATTCTTTGACAGGTAATTAGGTCCAGGTGACTTTCATGGAAAACAGTTCAGGACTGTTTTCGAAAAACAGAGTGAAGTGAACCTACCAGGCGGGTAATTAATTTGGCATAGACCTAGTCTTTTCAAAATAAGGAAACATAGTGAATAATTGGAGATCATGAAGAGCTTTGCGCAAGTGATCACAATCCATCACCTTTAGCATTAATTGGGAATGCAATGAATAATGATATTACAGTAGAATTCCCACGATTTTGTTCGCCGATTATAATGGACTTAGGGAAATATGTCTAACTTGATTGGGTTATCTAGCTAATGATTTTATGCGATAAATCATACTTATGAATATGAAGGGATCTGCATTTGAATGTTGTTTTCTTAATAATGTAACAGTGCCAGGTATATACATTCCCAGAGAGAAATTAGGTCTAATAATAACGATCCCAATGGGTTAACAGGAGGTTCAAAGCATCTATTAGGGGAGAAAGGGGGAATTTATAGGCGCATCAGGAAAGAGGTGAGGTTAACCTTACTGACATATGTAACCAGTATCCCCGCGAATAAAAAAGGCGATTAGAAAGGTAAACGTGCACTATGAAATTAGAGTCGACTAATGAATCAAAGACTAATCCAAAGGGTTCTTTCAAGTGTATAGGACGAAGGTGAAGGAAAAGTAGGACTCTGAAATCTGGAATGGCAGCTGACGGATAATGAACTGGAAATGTGACTCTTCTTTTTTATGACTATTTTTTGTCAGTTTTTACACAGAAGTGTAAAATGAGATTACAGTAATTAACAATTTATTTATGTTCCTGATGAATTTAAGTTAACTAATAGACTGTCAGAGGGACTTGGTTATTAAACAGATTAGACAAACTGATACCAAAATAAGTCCCTGGGACACGATGAGTTTTTTTCAAGGGGGTACTTAGGAATGCAAGATGGAGCTTAGTCAGCCATTGTCGAGTGTATTCCAATGCGTCCATCCCTTACGTGTTGTGCCAGAGATGTGGAAGATGGCTATTGTGGTTTCCTATATTCAAATCAGGGATAAGTCCACTACTTTCAAATTACCATCCAATAAGCCTGACATATATAGTGGGCAAGTTAATTAGAATCAATTATAGCTGACCATTGTCAGAAGTCACCTTGAAGAGCATAATAACTTGATAAATGAATCTCAGCATGGATTCACGACTGTGGTCGTTCCCCTGCCTGACAACTTACTGGAGTTCTTCAATAGATCATTGTGGCAGTTGACAGTGATAAGGAATAATGATATTGTTTATTGGGATTTTTAGTAAAGCCTTCGACAGAGTACCTCACAAGAGACTCTTAGATAAGTGGCAGCTCTTGGTATATGGAGGGTAAAGTTCTAGCATGGATTGAGGCATGGCTTACCAATAGAAGCAGAGAGTTACAATTAAAGGAGTTAAATCTGAAATGGGATTAGTCACTAAGTGGCGTTCACATGGATCAGTTTAGGCCCTCTTTGTTTCATATTTACATTATTGACCTTGATGAAGG